CTTGTGGCTCCACGGCTATTTAGAGTATCCCAATGCCGCGAAGGCACTATACATTTAGAATCATCCATGCCTTTCCGGGATTCGAACACAGGCCCTACGGCACCACAGCCAGCGTCACCAACCACTATACCGATAAATACTACTAGAAAAATACTTCGTTTAACTTAGCTATGCACCATGGTATTCAAGATTTGGTACAGGGTGCCTGGTTTGGAGCTGTCCTTGAAGTAATCATTTCCAACAGTTGGTTGTGTTGGAACCGATTCTAACAGTTGATATAAACACCATTTTTAAACAATCATTTTAAAAATATTTTTTTTAAATACGTCAATATTTTAAAACTCGTACCACAAATTTTAATAATTTTTAACATTTTAATTTTAGAAATGTTCCTTGCAACTCTTAACATGGAGATGACTTATCGAGCAGTAGTTTTATTTTTACTGGTTTTTTCGTACCAGTAACTAACTTTGATTTTTTTTAAAAAAAAAAAATAACTATGCACATAAATATTTATTCCATACTCAAATTCATCAGACATATTTGTAACGGCTCTATCCGCGTCCTTCCATTAATATAATCCTCTTGGGGTATCTTTGGTCTTTCAATTCTAGTTTATTCACAGCCAACCCTCTGAAGAAGAAACCTTGATTATTTAAATTAGGTCGGCTACATGCAGTCTAGGTTTTCAAGCTAGAAAGGAAAAAAAGTGAGGAGATAGGATAGATTGCTACTGATCAGGTATTATTAATTTTATAGTACATTTCAGGTATAGGAGAAGTGTAAGAATTAAAGTGACGATTAGTCACTACAGTTTAATTAGTGATCGGATAATCTGGAAAGTAGATTTGTGATCTAGAATTAAGTTGGTCGGCATTTAAAGTCTTCTCTCACTTGCCGTATCTCGTTGAAAATCCACATATTGCTTGGATTGAAAGCATCTCTTCTGTTTGAAATTACTTGAATTGTGTTGATAATTGTATGATTAATAAATAGATTGTTTTTGGAATAAATGGGTAGTCTTCCTTCCCTTCCTCCTACATCTTTAGGCGGGAATGAGAGAACTTCTCATTCCTTCCATATATATTGTACAAAACAACCAAAACAAGTTTCAAAACTTTATATAAAATAGAAAAAAAAGTCATAAAACATATTTCAAATAGACGATTATCGTGAAAAATAAAAACTTGAGAAACGGATTGAATATTAACGTCGCACTGTTCAGCTACACGAGGGCTTTTGGCGACGGACCACGTAATTTTGAACCATGGTCAAGTGACGTGGACGACCCCTGAGCTGGCATCCCCTCTCCTAACTACCACACCACACCAACGGGAGGACGTTTCAGCTCTCGACAGATTTAACGTTCATCGCTGCCCTACACGGTAGGTCTTTAGTGGTACTGGGCTCCAACTCGTGACAAGACAAGCCACGGTCCGATATCTATACCACTCGGCTACCGCGGCCATAAGAACTTGAGAAAAAGTCATTTAGATATAATGGTCAGTAAAATAAACGAAATAGTGCTAAGAACTGACATCCCGTGCTTTAGTTTTAGTTTTTTCGCTTCGACATACTCTAAAAAGAGTTAAATAATTGGCTAAATGTAGCTAAAGCTACGAAATTTAGTGCACATACTTAGAAAAGTGGCACAATTAAACAGAAGTCACAAAAAAATAGATATTTTGGTCATTTTTAGCTTAATGTGTCCCCTTTAAAGAAACTTAGTTGAGCAAAAGCAAAGAATATATTTAATAAATTATTTAATATGCTAAAAGGGGACAACGTTACACTTTTTTTTTAATCTCCTGTACTAAAATAACAAATATTAACACGTGACTTATAAAGAAATATTCCATATTTCAATTTAACAGGGTTACCAAAATAATTGCCAAAATAAAGATGTTATCCTTCTATAAAATCGTCAAATCTGAAAGTATCCTGTTTCTTCTCTCCTGATATTAAAAAAATAAATAAAATCATATATGGGGAAAATATTTAGTATTTAATTTCTCATCTTGATTTGAAAACCAGCACTGGTCCAGCTTATCCGGGTCCCTGGGCGCCCGCCCCAAGCGCCCAATGGATAAACGGGAAATGCTGAAAACCCAAATATCCAATACAAGCACATGCAAAGCATTTTAATTCTTTCTACAAAAGTAGTGAAACTGATAAATAAGGAATTATTTAACACAGCTTTGGTAAATGAATTTATACAATCTCATAAGTACATAAGTAAACAACTTCCTAGTTAAATATCAAAAAACAGTATCGTTTCTTAAAACTGCTATACAACACGTGACGGTATATACAAAAAAACACGTGATAAAATCCAGCTACGTAATTATATCACTCACTAGCCTACTAAGTGGAATATCACACATGTTTTTGTTTGTATCTTGAAACACATTGATTGTTGAGAATGAAACTGCAAAACTCACAAAAGCATTAGACACTGAAAATTTCATCAAGTAAAAATAAAAATTTTATTTTTATTTTCTCTATAAATCCATTTATTTGCTCTGTCCATGATATCAATCTTATTTAAATTTCCTTAAACTTCATAGAATAGAAATAACTATATTAATGATCCAATTTTAATTTTAAAATGATTGCCTTAAGTTTTTTAAGTACAAATTATGTTTGCAAAGAAAAAAAAATTATAAAAAAAAGATTAGCTCTAATAAATAATACACCGCAAAAAAAGCTTTGTGAATAATTTATATCATACGAAACAGTTGTAAAAAGCTCAATATGGATAGTTTTTTATCAATTTTTTTTTCTTTTGTTTACAGACAACATTAGAATAATGTTCAAGATAATTTTCTGGAACACATATATTATTAAAAGCATCTTACCTTTGCAGCCCGTTACCAGGATCTGTATTTGGTAATGAAATAACGTGCTCTATTGCTTGCATCATTTAACCGAGAATTGAGCACGCTGTCTTAATCAATATCTGATCAAGCAGTTATGATCTTTGATCTAAGATGAGTAACAAGGAAGGTCATAATTGTGTTTGCCTTTCTCGGCTTCGATCAAATTTGCAAAGTGATTTTCAAATATAGAATATGAATCGGTGAACAAGTTTAAAAATGACGCACTTTCTCATCGTAAGCGAATTTAAGAGTGAATTATTCTAAATGATTTTAAATTTTTTTTCAATTTTTCTTACTATGGACGTTTCCCAAAACATCAAACGATCTGATTCAAAATTATTTCAAGTAGTTATTTTTATCAAAGAGAGAGAGAGAGAGAGAAAAAAAATGACACAACAGCATTTTTTCTTGATTTTTTGTTCTTGATGTTAATAATGTTGAAAGATATTTGCATTCAATCTGTTATAAGTTTTAATTTGTTTCATTTTTGAATTTATGTGGGGATCCGGATTGCTTTAAATACTTCTTAATCAGATTTTGATTGGGTAGTATTTCCCGAGACGCATTAGTTTTAATCAAAATAATTATTTTGAGCATAATGTGTATTCATCAATTTAATGTCAACATTTTTCACAATTCCTCTCTATTATTAGTTCACACTCTCCCTATATATATATATGTATATATATATATATGTTCAAATTTTCAATCGTTAATAAAATACTTTTTATTCATCCACTCAAGTTCAAATACATTTTTTAAAACTGGTAGTGGATGACACTTGACGTCAATACAGTTTTTTCAAAAATTAATTCATTAATTAAATTTAATTAAAGAATAAATAGTAACAAACCATAAAAAAATTTGGCAGTTATAGAGACTGCCGATAGAAGTGAAAAAACTTAAAACTTTTAGTATTAAAATTCGAAATTTCATAATGTAATTAAAATTTTCAACATCAATCCGGTTTTCACATCTATTGATACTCCGAGCAACAATAATATGCATGTTTATATGGTTTTTTATTATTCAAATATATTATACGGGCTCTCTGTACAAGATCATGACAAAATATAAATAAAATTCAATCGAAATAACAATTAATATACATTAATATTATTTATGGATAGTATTTGTATTTACTTAAGGTATCCGGCTACGCGCGTTAGGAATTGTAGTTTTGTAAAAGCGTACAAACGAATATTTTTTTTTTTTAATATTTAATGTTTTTTAGATCACAGAATACACGCATAAAATTGTTTTAAAAATATTATTACATTAAAAATTATTTAAATGCAATATTTTGGCAAAAAATGAACTTAGAATTATTTATTTTAAAAATGTTCTCCTTTTATGACTAATGCCTCTGTAAAAACAATATTTTGCATATACATGGCTAAGACTTCTCCAGAGAGCCTGAACTAGGATTTTATAAAAATTCACATTATTTTCAGAGTTACTACCAATTGAAATAATTATCGGTTTTTTTTGTTAAAAATTCGCCACTCGGATGTATTGAATTACGAATAAATCCATTTCTAAGTTAAATATTTCAAGCATCCTATATAGTCCAGACTCTGTACAGAGGCCTGAGCTATATATAGGCAAAATATAATTATTATAAAAGCATTTTCCATAAAAGGAGACTGTTTTGAAAATAAATCATTCTAAATTCATTTTTTGCCGAAAAATTGCATTAAATAAATTTTTTATTGTAGCAACATGCTTAAAACAATTTCATACGTGTATTCTAAGTGACACTAAATATTTTTAAAAAATATTCGTTTTTACGCTTTTGCAAAATCACGGTTCCGTACGTAGTCGGATACCTTAAAATTCAATGTACTTGATTTTTAACATTATTTTAATTGTTTGCATCATTGTCATCATTAATTTCAACAATACTTAGACTTTTTGTACTTTCAAATTATTTCATCATCACGTGGAAGAATATTTTGAGGATTTGATGTGCATAGTTTTTTACCATTATTGGTTCATCTAATTGCTTAACATAACACATGAGCATGTCGGTGACGCGAACCCATAAGATATCCCCCTACCAAAAAGTGCCCAACCAAAAATAGTCCAACACCATATGTAAAAAGGAAAATCGCTCGTTGTGTCCTTGTAGAGCCACGGATAGCTCGTTGAACAACTAATCCAACGGTCGAGGGTTCAAATCCCACCTAGGATGGCTTAATTTCTGAGAATGCTGTTTCCTTTTTCTATACAATTTTATCGGAATAATTAAATTTAAAAAAATAAATAAATAGCAACAACAAAAATAATAGTCCAACATCATATATAGATAGGAAAATGGAAAATCGCTTTCTATTTTACTACTTAATATTGTGATTCTGCCATACGTATACACATATTTATACAGTGGTGACCAAAGTTGTGGACACTTTTTTAACTTGTTATGTTTTGTAAGTGTTTGCGTATAGAAAATTTTATGTTGCACAAAATGCAAAGTATTTTATATAATTTAAAGAAAATTAAATACAGAACTCAATACAAAAAACAAAACTTAAATATTTGCAAAGCAAGAAAAGTTATGCTTCAATAACTGTCGATATACACTCACTTCCAAAAGTTAAGCACGAAGATGTAAAATGCAAAAAAATCAACAAATACTGTTTTGATTGACACAAAATTTGGCAGTAAAGTAGCATATATATTTATACATAAAACAAAATCAATAATTATATACAAAAATGAAAAAAGTATTAAATTTTTGTAAGCTATCAGACAGGAGACTTAAACAGAATTATGTATAAAGTGAAAATAAACAGCATAAAATGAAAAAAGGACATTAATAGGGTATGTGATCCCCCCTCATTTGTATGCAAAGTTTACACCTTCTGACCATGCTTTCAATTAGGTGGTCAATCACCGCAGAATTAAGAATTCGTCATTCTTCTTGTAGAGCAGTTTCCAGCTCAATAAAAGTGGCTAGAGGTGGGAAACGTGAAGATACAGAACGGCCGAGAGCATCCCAAAGATTTTCTATGGGATTAAGGTCGTGCGAATATGCTGGCCATGCCATACGCGCAATCCCTTCACTCTCCAGGTAGTCATCAATGATGTCAGCTCTATGGGGATATGTGTTTTCGTCCGTTAAAACAAAAGTAGGGCCAACTTCTGCAGCGTACAACCTCACAATGGGTTCTAGGGCTTCATCTCGATACCGGACAGCAGTCACAGAACCCCGTTTAAAGATGCGCAGGTCGGTTTGGTACCCTAATGAAATCCCTGCCCACACCATAATGCTTCCGCCTCGGAATGTGTGATGTTCGGTGATGTTTTGGGGCTGATTGCGTGTTCCTTGTTTACGCCATATCCTTATACGCTTGTCATCTGTCTCCAGAGCAAATCTTGACTCATCAGTAAACATGACATTGCCCCAGTCAGACACAGTCCAATTGCCATGTTCCCGGCACCACTTTAATCGTGCCCCTCTTGATTGAACGGATAGAGGAACACAAATTCGAGGTACCCGGACATACAGTCCATTCATATGTAATCTTCGGCGTACAGTAGCTGCAGATATAGCCTTACCAATGGACGCTGTAACCATAGATGTCACACGTGTGGAGGTCGCTCTGCGATTCCGCTTGGCTACAATAACAATATATTGATCTTCCGCGGGGACTGTAACCCTTGGGCGACCGCCTACGGGCCTTCGGACAACTGTGTGTGTGGTTTGAAATTGTTTCCATAAACGTGAAAGTACAGAATAATGAACGCCGAAGAAAAGAGCAACATCTGTAATCAACTGCCCTGCTTCAATGCGCCCCACAGCACGCCAGAGCTCAGAATCTTCCATTCGTTTTCTGGAAGTCACAGAAACAGGTATGTCTTGAAAACAAATTGTACGAAAGTCTTAAACACCTTCTATCAGCATTTACAATCAACTTCTGTAACCCTTCATAAAGCTGGCTTCTTATGCTGCCCTTTTTACTATTTCTTGACATGAAAGCATGATTGTCTGTTACCTAACATATTTGCATACTTCCATCTACCTCTGAACGAATTGCATCCTCTTCAATTCTGATTGGCTTCCGGAAATTAGCATTTTCCTCTCCGTGCTTAACTTTTGAAAGTGAGTGTACATTAGATACCGCTGATAGCAGAGAATTATCAGAGCTTAGAGAGGTTGCGTTAATTCTTTATGACAGTTGATCGATGTCAGTTATGGAATCGATGTTTCATTGAGCTGAAAATAGTTTTAAGCTCTTCCTTCGTTGTCAGGAAACAATTTATCCTCAATTAGTTCCTTTTTATTTCATGGGTACCTCATTCGGACAAGAGTTTTCAAACGGTGCCACAACTTTTCGATAGGATTGATGTCAGGACTGTTTCCTAGCCAGGATAGCAATGATATTTAGTCAAAAAGCAATGACATCAAATAAAAGAGTAGATCGGATACATGTGTGACGAGAAATTGGTATATTTCCCTTGTTAAAATTACATAACCGTTGGGTAGTTCGGTGACTACATCTGGAGACTGAGAGTTTTGTTTCAGATGTCAAGCGACAAATTTAATTTTAAAAAAAGCAAGAAAAGGCCGAAAAAGGTACACCACATCTGTTGATGACAGAAGATTAAAAGTACTGTGTTTCAGAGTTAAAATAATTTCATGGACATCCATCAGAAGTGTTCTGAGTGATGTTGATGCTTCTGTCAGTTCAAAAACAATCAGGAGTAGATTAGCAAATGTTAGACTAAAAGGTAAAATTCCACGAAAAAAGCCGTATCTCAATTGACAGCAGCGCTAAAAGGGACTACAGTGGGCTATGGAACACATTAATTGGACAAATGATTAATGGTCATAAGTTATATAGAGGGACTGATACGTCGGTAATGATAGCCTAAAATATATGACATAAAATAGCAGAAATGATACATCCTGGCTGCATCCAGGAAACTGTGAAGTACCCACATACTTTTATCATTTAGTCATGCATATCAGCAGATGGTATCTGTCTCCTTCATATCATAGATGGGACACTGAATGTCATAAAATACATTGACCCCAATCTAGAACCCAAATTTATGCCTTCCATCGGAGATCTATTTACCAACAATGTTTCATTTATTTTTCAGCTAGATAGAAAACTTGTGGCACCGTTTGAAAACTCTTGTCCAAATGAGGTACCCATGAAATAAAAAGGAACTAATTAAGGATATAATTGTTTCCTGGCATCATGTAATAACAAAGGAAGAGCTTAAAACTATTTTCAGTTCAATGAAACATAGATGGGAAGCTGTAATAAAGAATAAACGCTCTGATAACTCACTACTATTATCAGTATCTAATGTAATTAGGCAGTTATTGCAGCATAACTTTTTTTGCGTTGCAAATATTTGAATTTTGTTTGTTTGTATTGAATTCATTTTTAAATTCTTTTTAAAATAATATAAAATACTTAGCATTTTGTGCAACGTAAAATGTTCTATAAGCAGACAAACTTAAAAAACATAACAATTTTAAAAAGTGTCCACAATTTTGGCCACCACTGTATAAATTGTAATTACTTAATAAAAAGTAACTAAAATAAAAATTTTATTTGTTGACCTAAGTAGGAATTGTCTTAATTTTTTTTTATATTGCTTGTCATTTTAAGGTGTACGTGCGAAACTGGGATTTTGAAAGAGCGTACAAAAATGGATAAGGTTTTTATATTTAGTATCAGTTGAATTAGTATATACGCAGAAAATTGCTTTACGAATATTACTGCAATAAAAAAATATTTAAATGCAATTTTTTGGCAAAAAATGAAAAAAGAATGACATGTTTTCAAAATATTCTCCTTTTATGAAAATTGCTTCTATAATCATAATTTTCCTGTACAATTGAACCACTATTTTACGAATCTTTTTTTTTTTTCGAACTTTTTTCTGGAACCAAGTACATAAAGTATATTGAAAATGAACCTCTATTTAACAAATTTTCCACATCACGACCTTTCTTCCGATTTTATTAAATAGAAGTTCGACTGTATATAACTAGGACATCTATTCTGAGATTGAACTAACATTTTTGAAATGTGTAATTTGGAAGCGAATTTATTCATATTTTATTATATCAATTGAAAAATTTTAACAAAAAATTCAATTGAGTGTAACTCTGAAAATAATGTAAACTTTTCAAAAAATTATAGTTCAACTCCGGTATAGAAACTATTTCTACATATAAGCAAAATATTATAGAAGCAATTTCCATAAAAGGTTAATGTTTTGAAAATATATTATTCATTTTCTTGCAAAAAATTACATTTATGTAATTTTTTTATTGTAATAATATTGTTGTAGCTGTTTTAGATGTATATTCTAATTCAACTGACAGTAAATATAAAAAAATTTTTTAAAAAATATTCATTTATATGCTTTTTTAAAATCACGGTTCCAAACATAGTCAGTCACCTTAACCCTATAGCGGGCAGTGGCTAATACGTCTAGCCCATATTAAAAAAATTTTCTTCAAAGTGGGTGTTGGGGATATTTAGTCTATCTACATGCATTAATTGAAGCTAAAATGCATAAAAGTTAATAAGGATGGCAGCACGATACCCTTTTTTGCATTTCATGTCCTATGATGGATAGTTAAAAACAGTTTTTCTCGGTGTAAATCTACAAATTGTATATTTTGTGATTACTATAAATAAAATTTCTCATATTTGAAAAAAAATTCGACATGTCTTCAGTATACTTTTCTCTCATCTGAATGAATTAAGCAACTGTACAATTAAAAAAAAAGGTTTTGTTGTTACCAATGCCGCCTGATCGGCAAAGGCCAGATCAAGGCCGTCGAAATTCCTCATGGTAAAGGGCTAAATGACTCCTGTCGTTAGCGGTAGCTTTGAGCACCATGCAGGTGACAGTACGATTTGGCTCAGTTCCACCCCAATTTAGAGGGAGAACACTCTGGGGGTGGTCAGAGGCCTTCCACCTCTCTTCCCCTTCCACATGAGAGGACTTGTGGCTCGACGGCTATTTAGAGTACCCCATGCAGCAAAGGCACTATACATTTACAAACATCCATGTCTTCTCCAAGATCCGAACCCAGTCCCTACGGCACCGCAGTCAGCGTCGCTAACCACTATACCGGGTGAGCGACAAAAAAAAGCGGTTTTTATTTAGGTTTTTGGAAACATTTAATAGTGGATAGAGGCTCTATCCACTGCCAAT